TTTTGAGAGATTAGAAGAGAGTCAATCCAAAGACGTACTTATATAGTAATTGCTTACTATTATTATTTTTCTTATTGATCTTTTGAATAAAGATTCAGCATTGACAAATTAGCCATCAGTACTGAGTGTTTATTACATGAACGAAGCGTTCATATTTAGTTGATTTAAATAATTTTTATTGAAATCATTTCTCTATAAAGTTAAATTTTTTTAACAACATTTTCCAGAATTTTTTTTTATAAGTATATAAGTATTTTTTAGTATACATTTATCAACCCTATATAGAATAAAGGAAGAGGAATCTGGAATTCTGTGAAAGATTCAACCTTGCTCAGATTATTTATGATTGTTTATGTAATATTATTGCGAAGAACAGTTATTTATAAAATGTTTCTTGTGTGTATCTTACTATATAGGTAGCAAGAGTTATAAAGACAAACTTTTCAATTTAAATCAATAAAATATAGTGTGTATATATATGATTTATCAAAAATTGTATTAGAATAATTTATTTACGCACAAGTACATCTGTATATATTTAATTGAAATTTTTTTTAGTTTTTATTTTTGTGTCGTCGAATATTAAAGCAGTTAAATTCTTGAAGATACTTCAACTTATTCTACTTCTACTTCAACATATTTTCTGTTAGTATAGTAGATGTAGTTGGTATTTTAATTGGCACAATGTAAAATATTCCCAGTATTTTTCTTAATAGTTAGGTAAAACCAAAAAAAAAGAAAAATAGAAAACTTGAATTTTCACTCAAAATCAGTTTTTAACAAAGTCGAATTGGTTATTTTATTGTGATTCAACAAATAATAACCGTAGTTGCTTGAAAACAGTGACGTGTTGACCGTGATTTTGAAGGGCAGTTGCCCGATAATTTTATAGAATATATACAATATGTCAATATCCAGATATTGTTACATGAACTTAATATTAATTACTATAGGAGTAACTATGTAGTAATTAATACTTAATTTACAGCATTCAAAATAAAGTGATACATTTTTGTAGTGCATGTTGTACAAAATGTACATACCACTTGGGTAGTGGGTACCGCGTAAGAGTCAAGGGATGGAAGGTCATTACAAAAAAAAAAATTATCTTATAAGCTATTTTACTTCACCACGCTACTGCTTGAAAATATTACCAAATATTTATATTACCCAGCATTTTCTATACAATATGGAATCATTTAAAAAATATTTATACTTTTTTAAAGTTATTTATAGGCATTTGAAATTTTAGAATTTTGTTTTTAATGTGTTGATTATACATTTTAGGTTAGACTAAAAAGTTTGAAAATGTAATAAAAGATCCCACATTAGTTGTTTCTAAAAATATAGAAAATGTGTAATAACAATTTTTTTTTAATAGACATTTGAAGTTCAAATTTTGATATTTAAATTTTGATATTTGTGATTATAAATGAATATTATTCGTAGGAATTTGAAACATTTCACGAATATTACCTATTATTAACTACCTATCCACAATGAAATCTTCAAAATTTTTAGATTTATTTTAAGTTATTTATACGATGAACCTATATTCACACCTTTCTATGTTGTATTGATTTTTAAATTAATAACAATGAACAGCTAAAAATGTTATAATAATTAGGTATTATTTAATATATATAATATATATGTATATATAATTTATCTCTTAGAAAAATTAGTCCAACCAACCGTATAAGTAATAGTAAAATAAATAGTTAATAGTAAAATAAATTTATTTTAAAATATCTTTAGAACTTCGAAGATTAGGCTGAGCGTTTCCAATCATAGTTGTTTTTTGTACCTATGCAATTATTTATCACTGGATTCAAATTTAACACATACATTACAGCTATAAAAGAGGTGCATTCAATAACAGATATTCCGCAAAGCGAGTCCATCAGCTTTGTAAAAACAATGTTATTATTTAATTTCTGATTATTATTTATTTTTGTTTATACCTACTTTGATCATATAACAATTATTATGATATAATATTTGTACCATAGGCGTGGAATGGTGGGGGATAAGGGGGCTATAGCCTCCCCAGAATTCTACTAAGCCCCCCCAGAAATTCTTGTGTAATAGTTTACTGTTTTATACGTCCATATGTGGGAACTGAAAATATTTTCTATTATTTATTTTAATATCCGAAGAATATTTTATTTGAAAATTCAAATTTTAAATTATTCATTTATTTATACATTACAATATCATATCGACATTCGACATCAATAACAATAATAATATTTTGTTTAGTTCTATCTTCTATATTATAAATTAATAAATTATAATCATCAGAAGACTATAATGACGCGTTATCGCCGTCTATCGATGTTTCTGGAAGAAATAATTATCATGTTAACTGTTTAGGTTAAAAATAGACGGCGATAACACAGCTTTGACGATACGAGTGTATTCGTTAATGGTAAATCCGCCAAACTTGTAAACACTAAACAGTATAATGGTATAACTATTAACTACAGTCTACATTCTACACTTTATACTCTGATTATTTTATGGCAAAATAAGTTTTCACCGTGTTCTCATCTCACTTTCAGTTTTTTTGTTAAATTGCATTTAAACATCAAATATATTTTTTTAAATATCCGCAATTTTTAACGATGTTTAGTATATTTAATAAAGTAAAGACCACGATTAATAACCCATTTTTGGCATAGATGCTTGTATCAGAAATCAACAAAAAAAATTTTCAAATTTATATAATTTTTTACAAATAGCACTTACGATTCCAGTAAATTCTGCTTCTTGTGAAAGATCGTTTTCAGTATAGCGGTGAATAAAAACATGGCTACGAAATTCTATGACTAACGATAGATTTTCAAATCTATCGTTACTTCATATTGAAAGGGACTTAGCTAATAATATTACATTTGAAGAGGTTCTTAATATATTTTCCCAAAAAATCAGGCGTTTAAACCTGATAATAAAGTAATCATTTCCTATTTAAAATGTTTTTTTTTTTAATATTTAATTAAAATACAAAATATGTATTTGATAATAATATGATGTATGGTATATTATTTATTTATATTTTACTTAATAATGTGCTTCTTTAGTGCTTTTTATATTTTGTTCCTTTATATTTTTCTATAGTTATATTTATAGAATATAATATGTTCTGTACCTGAATCATTATAACCCTTATACAAAGTAATTCGCAAGCAGTTGCGGCAGCTTCATTGATACCACAAAAAAAAGGCTATAGCCCCCCAAAAAAATCATCACGGTACACCTATGTATTTGTCATACTATTAGGTTGAGTATAACTTTGAATTTATAATATATTTAGTAAAGTGACATATATATTACATATAATATATTACACTAGTAAAAATATTTATTTCATGTTTTATTTATTGTTGTGCGTTTAAACTTAATATGAAACTATTTAACAATTGTATAATATATTACTATTATATTAAGATTAAAAAAAAAAGTCTAATCTTGAAGACTATTCAGCTCTTTTAGCTCTAACCCTCTTCTAATTTATTTTAACAAATTTATTATGAAATGTGACTTTTATGAATTCTTGAGTGAAATATTTAAAACGTTTATAAATAACGAGAAATATCATACAAACAAAGGAATTAAACAAATAATAATAAAATAATATATAAATAATATATTATCTTATATTACATTTTAAAAGAAACATTTTTATGAATTCCTAACTCAAATAATTTGCTAATTTTCGTAATTTGTCCATATTTTGTCAATTTTTGAACTTTAAATGCTCATAAAAAAAGTGTCTAAGGAATTTTAATATTTTTGCAAATGTAATTGTAACAATATAGTAGGAGCCTTGTATTAAATTTTCAAGTATTTTTACTCAACAAATAAAGTTTTATTGACATTCATAGAAAAAACAACTATTAAAATTGGAAACTGAAAATGTCCCTGAACAGTTCAAAACAAATCAAAATATTTTGAAAATTCTATCGTGTATAAAAAATGCGTATATCAACAACCAGTGAAAATTTCATGTATTTACGGTCATTTGTTTTAAAGTTAGACCAAAAACCAAAGTTGATTTTGTGAAAAATCGATTTTGCTAAAATTTCCCGTTTTTCCTTAATTTTTCTTTTGTTTTTCACTGCGCTTTTGAAAATTACTAGGAATTTTAAATTTTGACCTCCTCAATGCACCAACAATATTTACTTTCCCATCGAACAAGATACTAAAGTTGAAAATTAAAGCATTATTTCGACTACTTATCTTGTAAAAAGAAACAAAAAAAAAAAAAACACATCATTGTAAAATCAATACATTCATCGTTCCACTCAGAATCTAAAATTAATTAGTAGAATGAAATAATATCATACATACTTCATTAAACAAATTACCATTGCAATATTTTTATATTTGATATATATTTAAGTTCTGCCGAAATCAAGCAGTCGGAGTCTCGGAGATGATATTTTTCGCGGATTTGTGCACAGAATAAAATATCGAAGAATACATTTAATGGAAGACGTCAATGATGACGTCAAATTGACAATTGACGTAGATAAACAGAATTTTCCCTAAAGGCTAAAAGCTAATACTAATAATTAAACTTGTTATTTTTTATTATAACAAGCAGGTAATTTATTCTTGTTCCGAGAAAAACTGCCGGCAATTGTATGATAGATTCAGCTCCTGGCCCGCAAAAACCGAATGTAAACACTCAATATTGACGGGTCGTTCGATACTACAACAATAATATTTATGCATATCAAGTAAGTAGTAATCAAGGAAATAAGTACCTATTAACCAACTGGCCGGTCAGGCAATGGGGAAATGAGTTTAAGAGTTATGTACTATGACGACAATCACGAGTCACTAGAAGGTCGTCGGGCATGAATTATTATGCTATAATACCACACTTTGTCTTAGTTTGGTGAAGTACAAAAAAAAAACACGATTGATGCCAATGATTATTACTTATAAAAGCCGGTCTGAAACGTTGTATATTCAGTACACAATTGCACGCCATGGATTCAAGAATTGCAGTAGTCTGTGTTGTTTTGGCGGTGTTCGCGGTGGACCAGACGGTCGGAGCGCCGCAAAAAGATGCTTTAGCCGCAGGTAGTCCCCCCTACACTACCAAGTACGACCATATTGATATTGACCAAGTTCTGGCTTCCAAAAGATTAGTCAATAGCTATGTCCAATGTCTGTTGGACAAGAAACCGTGCACACCCGAAGGAGCTGAACTTAGAAGTATGTATACTTACTGCACTTGTATAGTTGTAAAAGATAACATTACGTTTTAACATTGTAAGATAGGTATTTCTTTAGCATCATCCAGTATGATACACTTTCTGTGTTAATTGATTATTCTGCTGTATTTATTGAATCTAATCAATTGTATTAGAATATAAATATACCTACCTACTTATTTTTTTTATACATGTTTCTAGTAGCTCTAAAAATTACCTACCTACCTTTATAATATATATGAATGCCTACTTTTTATTTTATTTATCAACCAATAAGTGATAGGCTTATGTACTATAGTAATCTGAATTTCAAAAAATGATACTAAAATTAGTTGATAAATGTTTATTATTAAATTAAAGATTTCAATTACTTATTCTAAAAAAAGAACTAGAAACCAAGTCCCTAATAAAACAATAAACAGTGTTAATAGTATACAAAAAAAGTTTATGTGATTTTAATTCAATGATATTTTTACATGAAACATTATTTTATAGTGTTATTTTATTGATTTTATAGAGCATATTCCTAATGGCGTTAGTAATAAAATAAAATTACTTATCTTAAATATTTTTACTTTACAGAAATTTTACCTGATGCTTTAAAAACACAATGTGCGAAATGCAATGCCACACAAAAAAATGCTGCCCTTAAAGTAGTTGACCGACTCCAGAAAGATTATGATAAAGAGTGGAAACAGCTTCTTGACAAATGGGACCCTAAACGTGAACAATTCCAGAAGTTCCAACAATTTTTGACAGAAGAGAAGAAAAAAGGGGTTGTAAAGTTTTAAATATAAGTATAAATTTACCAATTAGTAGTTAATAATAATTTAGTTTTATCTAATACATTAGAATGCAGTACCTATATGCACTATTTATCAAATGTATACAAAAATAATAAAAAAATATCTTAACTTATTTATATATGTGTTTTGTTTGTTTTTTCTAAGAGCATACAGGAAATAATAAATATTTTGGATTATGTTTTTATTATGTTGTATTTATTTTGTATTTGTCTAAAACATAAAAATGAAGAATAATATACACTCAATTAACATACAGTTTTGTATTTAATTTGAAATAAAAGCAGTCATTTTAATTAAGATTAATCATTTCGTATTCTATAAAATCTTACGAGTGTTAAAAAAAATTCACAGATCGGTGTTATTTCATTATCCGTATAATGTAATAATAACATTATTACGCACTAAAATATTGTTTAAAAATGATAGTAATAAATTTAATAAGTACTAATAATAATTATTATTGTTTTAAAATTGAACATTCATATTGATAACTCAATATAATTCGTTAGCCTATAACAATTATTACTATTACCATGATCTAAACGAGATAATTTATATAGACAATTTAACTCGTATAAGTATAATACAAAAAAAAAAATTTCGAACATGCCTTAACTTCCATTTCAACTATATATTAGCCGAGTACCCATACCGATCATATTATTCACATTTATTTCTAATTAATGAACCGAAAAATTAGAGAATTATTTACATTATTATTTTTGTATAATTGTTAAGTTGTGCTTAATACAATATAGAGGTGTTATACTAAAAGGATAACAAAAAAAGTTACTGCAGTTTTTTTGAACGGTAGAAATTCTCAAGAATTATATAATTTCAATATAAATGTTCTACGCATGTAAAATAACTAAAAAATGTTTACATATTATAGTATTGTTTTATGAGTATATAATATGTCTATTAATTTCTACTATCGAACTTGGATTGAAAGCTGCTGTAGTAATCATTAAGAATGATGACTAGTCTTTCACGACAAACTTGGGAGTACAATATTTTGTGAAACAAGGAAAATGTTGTACCCTGTTATGTTAATTTTACCGGTCAAACATATTATATTGTATATCTAAAATAGTTATTATTAGTTTGAATTAAATATAATATTGTAATATGTATTATACTATATTTTGAAGAAACATACTAAATTTGTTCATCAGAAATGTGTGCGAAATGTGTGCACCTTAATTCAAGACTAGGAAATTGTGTGTTCCGTAATATTGTACATTTTAAATTTGTTTTAAATGTCACATTCACAATACTAAAAAAAAAAACATAATAATAAACTCATAAGATTAAATTGGCACAGTTAAAAGCTTCTTATGACATAAAAATAAAATAAATAAAAAAACTAATATAAGAATGACAGAGGTAATCATATTAATGAACTAAAATTATACAGTCTTTTTTTTAGACTAGAAATGATTATGTAGTAAATTATATTTTACTATTACATTGTTTGTACGAAATCATAGAACGGAAGTATATAGGTATGACAATTACAAAAATTAACGATTCTATTAAAACATTTAAATTGAGTTAATACCATCAATGTATCGAATTATTAAATTGTAGGATACCGAGTATTGCGTATATTAGTCTTAAATAATTATTATATGCAATTATATAGCATTAATTTTTGTAGGTAACACAATTTCGTTTTAATATAAACTTATTTATAACATATGACATTAATCATTATATTGTTTTATATTTATACATAATAATTTATTAAACATTGCATACTTTAAGAGAAAAGATTTTGTGTTGTGTAAGTTTAATATAAAAACAATTAGGTACTTCGATGGAAGTAACCACAAGACAAACACAAGATAGTGATGATACAAAATTATAATAACTACTATTTTTAAGATACAAAAAAATGTATTGTTGCGAATGAAATAAAATTTTTAATTATTATGTATAAAACATTTATTTCCTTAATAATTAAAACCTAATTTATTTTTACATCGCGGTTTTAAATACAAAGTTTTCCTTATTCTACCTGTATAATATGTTAATCTACGAACATTATATCAATTCTGGTCCCAAATACATGGGTCCAAACGCAGGCTTGAACACCAAATACGAATTATTATCGCTGAAAAATATGAAAAATAATACCTAGGTACATTATTAATGAATTGTAATTATTTTTACATTTTGAAATAAAACCAATTTGTTTTGATTAATATAATAAAAAACATTATCAAATAAAGATAAAAGTTTATCAACTTTTGTTATCACATCCGTAAATATATCTACAATGTTTTTTCTATAATTTTCTTGTTTTCCTCAGTCTAAAGTTTTGAAAAAATAATTCAATATGAGTTTTTTAAGATCCATCTCTCTGATATTTCATTTGATGAGTTGTTAACACGAGGTATAAGATTCTCAGCTCACATTAGAAAAAAATAAGAATAATTCCAAAACCCTGAAGCTACGTGGTGGAACGATAAAATATAAAATGTGATAGAAACTAAAATAAAAATATTTCCTTCAGCAAATTAAATAAAAATGTATCTGATTACCTATATACACTTAAAACAAGTATTGGGCATTGACAAATTTCATAATGAAAATTGAAAACCAGTAAAAAAAAGTCATGTCCCATGGGAAACATTTATTAGTAACATAAATTAAAAGACAGCTGATACCAAACTCATATGGAGCAAAACACACTTACTAAAAGGACTAAACCGAAACAACAAAATAAAAATAATCAATGAAAACAACAATAAATGAATTATGAACCCAAAGGAAGTTTCAAACAAATTAGAAAAATATTTTTATACCAAAAGCAATGAAACATTTTCATGACTTAGATTTCATTAAAATTAAACAGGATAAACACCTATTTTCAATATTGTTGACTAAATCCAAGATGATCAAATCTTAATTAATTTGAAGATAACCATAAATCTGAAATCATAAAATCTCACATAAAAAAAAAATTCAAAACCTGAAGCCCAGGTCCTGACTGAATTAAATTTTTTTCATACACCACTTTGGTCCAAAAAGTAAAAATGTATGGCTGTAAAGGGTAAAACTCTTTTCACCCAAATCAACCTTTTGGTTTTCTCCCAAATGACCTTTTTTACCCAAATTCAAAAAAGAATGATTTGGGTTTCATCCAAAGAAATATTATTCATAATTAACGAAAAAATATTTTGGTTTACCACTGTATTTTTCTTATTGAAAATGTTATTTAATTTATAGAATTTCGTAAAAAAAAAAAATAGTATATTTAATATTAATAAAAACCAATTAATGTTCAAAGTAATGGCACATGGATTTGATAAATTCGTACCGTGTGAGCAGACCAGATTTGTATTGTGTAATTTTAAATTGATTTTCGATTCTTTTAAAATGTTGTTTTAAACTTCATCCAGAAAAATATTCAACCACGGCATGAAAGATGGTGATTTTGTATTGAGATTTGTATTAAATTTATATTACGACATTAGTTGACTGTGGTAACCAAATTACTCTTTTTTGATTTTAGGTAAAAAAAAGGTAATTTGGGCGAAAACCAAAAGGTCAATTTTGGACTAAAACACGATTGGCGAAAACAAATTTGGTAAGATGGATCTATTTTGACACACTGAAAAAAGGTATGGGTATAATTAACAAAAACAACGAAGTAGATTCTGGATCGATGGTTATAGACCAATCAAACTATTAAATACGACATGTGTAAAGTTTTGGAAATAATAGCTTATTATATACCAAAATACCATTATGTAAGAAAATGGACTTAGAAAAAAACCATTCAACGTATGACAATCGCAGTAAAATAAAAGAAGAATACGATCAAGTATTCAAAAACAAAAAAATATTAAGTCTGGCCAGTTTTAACATTACACAAACTAATAAAGTAATATGGTGACAATACATACTATCCAAACTCAACAAAGTCATATGTCCAGGTAACATCTTAAATTTCTTAAAAAAAATTACAAATTCAAATATCGAACCAACTCTCGTTAAGTCTCGTTTCACCCAACAAAACGACGTAAGTAGTACAAGGGTCAGTATATCTATCACATTACGTTTAGTGGAAATTAACAAAATAAATAAGCAATGTAAATTTCCGATAAAATCAAACATATTATTTTCAACGATGCTAACTTCTTAAGTAGAAGTAAAATATCAAAAAAATACCAACGCATATTCAAGAAATGACTACATTTAGTAAAACGGTCCGAAAAAACTGGTTTTAGCCTGAAAAACTAAAGAACTAAAGAACTAAGGAATCAAACATAGGATAATTAAAAAAAAAGGTAAAAATAGAAATATAGGTGGATACCTACCTAATAAAAATGTGTAAAAATACTAGGCAATATTATAGGCATCACATTTGATTCTAGGCTCGCATAGTCTCCACACATAAAAACTCTTAAGATATCTACTAATAAAGTTGTTACATTATTAAAAATATTATCTCACACTACTTGGAGTATTGAGACAGAAACTCTATTCAAACTATTTAAATCGACAATACAAGCATAACTTCACTATTGTTCGATTATATACAGTTTTTTGACATTAAAATAAAATTCATCGACATAGACCACTGCACAATGATTAAAATTACTGTAGGTCTATTCAAATGTATGTAGCATTATCAAAAGTATTTATAGTATAGCTGTCGAACCAACCTCAGACTTGAAATAAACAGAGATAGACAGAGAATAACAGAGATAGCACTACAGTATGCCGCAAAAACTAATTTGTCTATCATTAAAACATCTTGAATTATTTCACATACTTATCATAATAATTATTTATTCAAATTGAATGTATTTTTTGAATAAATGTTGAAACTAAAAATGGGAAATTGGTCAACTTGATATAAGTACCTGAAAAATTGTCCAAATTTATTTTTCATATATTGCTCTGTTTGCGTTTGGTTGGGGTTTGTTGGCCACTGTTTGGAGCATTACCGGTAGCTCCATTTTCAAGTTTGGCTAATTTTTTGTACTGCGATGAGTTAATAAATCTTGGATAAGAATCCCTATGCATAAGCGTGTAAATTTGTAGCTGAGCTTCATCGAACATATGAGATGATGGTTGATTGATGTTCTTATTGACGATATCACGAACACGAGAGTCTAAACTCACCTAATTAAAATAAATAATACATTTTTTAAATAAAACTAAAATTAAAATTGGTACTTACGTACAATCCAGATTACCTGTATTGATTAAGAATTTACCTTCTACTGGCTATGTATATTTCTAGTTTCTACCCTCCAAAATTCTTTCCAGGACATAAAATAAAATAAATTTTGTTTTGAGGGGAAAATACAGCAAGACTCATTAACATAAATAAGTACCCAATGAAATAACAGGTATACAATCGATATTATAGTTATTATTATATAATATAATTCTTACCTAGATATAGTTGATAATTATTATTTATTACGGTTTGTATATTAGACATTTTTTATGTGTCTTATAAATCATAATTGAATAAAATACATTTCTTAGCATTTATTTAAATTGATTTTGTTGATATATTACACAAATTCTAGGTAATTATATAGTTTAGGTGCCTATACTATTGTTTACTCGATGGGATATTGTATTGGTATATTAGTTATTATATATTTATATTCATTAAAAAAAAAAATGAAAAACCAGTGTTAGTTCAAATAATACTTAAAATACCATTGACTGTGGTGTTATGGTAGTCCAGTAAATTCTAAATTTATACAGGTAGTCAGGATAATAATATGTAAGTACCTTAAAATGTAAATAAATAATAGCTCTTGTCTGCTGTAATACTACTACAATTTACAATATAGGTAAATATCTCCAAAAATACTGAAATACAGGGTGTTTCTGAAATGAATGAGGAAACTAGTATATGCGTACTCAGTGTGATGACCCAATGATGATTTTTTTGAAAATTTTTTCTACCTTCAAAATCTGGGTTTTTTTCAATTTATTTTTAGAACATTATCTTAAATGTAAAAATAAATACTCAAGTTGTATTTTTTGTAAAAATCTCATACGAATCGAGGTGTCACATCATTTTTGAGCTTGTCGCTCGTTTTTCACGCTCGAACCGCCGATTAAAAAAAAATGGTGTGGCACATCGATTTGTATGAGAAAACTACAAGATAAACAGTGGTGATAGTTATTTGTTGAAATTTAACATACACGATTAATTAACACATTGTTTTACATTGTCAACTAATAAAAATGATAAATAATAACATAATTAGGGTTAACAGAGTCTTAAATGATCGAATTTATGTGTTAATTAATCGTGTATGTTAAATTTCAACAAATAACTATCACCACTGTTTATCTTGTAGTTTTCTCATACAAATCGATGTGCCACACCATTTTTTTTTAATCGGCGGTTCGAGCGTGAAAAACGCGCGACAAGCTCAAAAATGATGTGACACCTCGATTCGTATGAGATTTTTACAAAAAATACAACTTGAGTATTTATTTTTACATTTAAGATAATGTTCTAAAAATAAATTGAAAAAACCCAGATTTTGAAGGTAGAAAAAAATTTTCAAAAAAATCATCATTGGGTCATCACACTGAGTACGCATATACTAGTTTCCTCATTCATTTCAGAAACACCCTGTATAAACACTTACTTCTTTAGGAGATAGAATCGAAATGTAATCTTCATAAATGAACCGAGCTTTTTCTTCTATTACATCAGGATTCGATTCTTTTTTTAACTCTTCTACTGCCATCCAGAACAATATGTTCTCTTCGCTGTATTCGCATCGTAAGAAATCACGAAATATCTTTTTTCCCGCTGCGTAAATAAAAATAAGAATAATAATGATAGTCGTTATGTTATACTATTTTAGCACGATTATAAAAGTAAATAATATTATGCTTTATATTAAATGTGTATATGCGTGTTAGACGTCAGTAGAATATTTACTGGAGATAAGGAAGAAACAGGTTTTCCTTCACCTTGGTTTTTTTTTTAGTTCCAATACTGAAAATATTATCTTAATTTAACTTATTATTGAACATTTTTATAAATATTTCTTTCAGTTTTCATATTAATTTATACTTAAATAGTGAAATTGTGATAATGATGAGTAGGTAAGGAAACTTTGATGAGTACTTTAAACCATCTTATATTACCTTCGTGAGAAATGTATCAATTCGATACTGGTGTATGTGTGTATATGTATTCATAAAAATACTAAGCACACTTTAATATTGTATTATATTTACTAATATTTATTATATTATATAAAATTGGTTTAATTACCAGGACACTTTAGAAGTCGGTCAAATGATTTGCTCCAACTTCGTATTTCGTCCAAAGGAGGCCTGTAAAGATTATTCAAATTAAAAATTGTCAACATAGTTGTTAGTTAGTATGAAATGAAAAATAAAAAAAAGGAGATAATTGTCTCGAAGCGTCATTGTTTGTTAAAAATATGCGAAACTCTTTAAATGCCTTCAATATTTTAAACAATTTAAATTGGTGAATATTTTAGATCCAAAACCTAATATATCTAATAATTCTTAAAAAAATACAATTGTTATAAATGTGTCTATAAATAACTACAAAAGTAAATAAAAACAATGGCACTTTAAATCTGTTGCTAACTTTTGTAACTAATATCTGCTATACAATATTATTTTGTATTGCTGTATGAGTATATTATACATTTACGAATTACATAAATTTACCTTAGCTCTACCGGATTTTCGATTATGCCGCCGCTAGATCCGTTTCCGTTTGTTTTGGGGGGATGACCTTTTAATGGGAAACTGAAAGAATACATGGGTAAGTATTGTATACTAAACATATTATTTTCCGTGTTAAGTTTATCAGAACACATTCGATATTTTACTACAAGTCTACAAATCAATATTCATAATTATATTATATATATGTCCAAATAAATTAATGAGTGGTGTATTAATACATAATAATATCTATGTAATTATACATTGACATTTTCAAATTAGTTTACAATGTTTAGTTTGACTGTTATAATACGACATAAGTTATATACATAAATGTATAACTATGAATATGATACCTATATTATAACTTACACGCATCAAATATATCGTATACAATTGTTAAAAAAATGAAAGACTGTAGTGGACAGGAATTGAAAATATTTTTTAATGTAATGTATTAATACAGCACATAATCATGAATAAACCATAATAATTTTGGTATTTTACTATTAAATTTTATTTATAATTTTGTTTATTAATACATAATACTTACCAAAAACGATCCCTGTATGCGTGAAAATTCAGAATAAAAATCAACAAACCGGATGTTAGAAATAAGTACGAACATTTATTTACTAAAAGCTCTAAAATATTATTTTTACAAAATCAGTATGAGTGATTGATTTTCTCTAATTGATAAAAATGATAAACAATATTATATTTTTAATAATGCATTTCTTAAAATGTTAATTTTTTCAAAGTCACATAACTATTAAAAGGACGTGATACCCGCATGTGTTGTCTTCGTCTTACTAGTGCATAACATAGCAAATTTTCGCTCAGTAAAACACGTGTAGTTCTGTTAATTTAAACATTTGAGTAAATTAACCTCTTATAAAATCTAAAGGTAAGATTATTATCTAGACAACCTCATGGTTTTTTTAATATTTTATTTTTTAAGCTAGTTATGACTGTTATGAATAGTTTAAGATCTATAAACAATTTACAATTTTAAAATACTCATAGCTCGCTTAAAAATATAAAATACAATAAAAATCCCATGAGGTTGTCTAGATAATAATCTTACCTTTAGATTTTATAAGAGGTAAGTTCGCTCCAATTTTCAAACTAACGGAGCTATGCGTGTTCTGCTTTGCGTAGAATTTGCTATGTTACGCACTTGTAAGACGGAGAAATACATAAGGGTATCAGGTCCTCTTAATTTATGTATCAAATTTTAAATACGATATAAATACAGGTTAATAATAATTAATTAGATTAGGGCATGATAAATGGTATAAATAATAAATGAAAACATAATGTTGATTATCTTCTTAAAATAATTTTTAAAGTAATAACCATTAAAATTAATTCTTACGCAATTAATGTGTGTATTATAGTTATGAAATCAAACCTTATATTTTTGTTAAGTTTGATTACTATACTATTCAATTATAAATATAAAAAACGACATTCATATTATTAATGTTATTTATAATTTTCTTAGTGTTATTAAATTTATTATACTACTTTATATGCTCATATTTTATAATATCTCAAAAAATAATTGATTATCAATCAATGATTAAAATATTAAGCAATTTATAATTTTGTAATATATTTTGATAAGTTATTTGACTAATTACGGATGATGATTTAGAGTGTAGGTCTTTATACGCTGACGTAGATGCATGCTAATGGTAACGGATAAAGTTTTCAGAGCCCGTTTCATAGTTTGTGTCATGGAGATTTAGAGTTTGTTAATAATCTATTATTAATTTTTACTATATTATAATGGTATAATATAATATTAATTATTAATAAAAATACCATCGAACACGATAAATATTTATGTGCCATATTTATGGTACTTTAAAGTAGGCACCTAGTAATAAAATTACACTCGCTAATTAGTAGTGGAATTATTGAAAAATACCAAAGACTGTGTTAAAAATGTAATTTTCTATTATTTTTGTAAATTGTCTGGAGTTCCTCAGAAATATCATAAACGAGAGTTTAGATACAGATATTAAGTATACATGAAGATTAATTTTATATTTAAATATAAAATTAACACTTCAATATTATTACATAGATAATTATAGTTTAACATAAAAATTGTTTATACAGTTAATTATTAAATTGGTTTTTACTTACCATAACTTGCATATCCTACTCCTGTACGCATGCAAATAAACACTGATTGTACACAAATAAATCAATTAAAATAAGTTTTAAATAAAAAAAACATAAAAATATCTTTTAGAACTCAATACAAATATGTTATAGCATTTTATTTTTTAATATTATATATTTTTATATAAATTATTATTATATGTGTGTTAAATTACCAACTACAAATATATATATTATACTCATTCACGTATAATATGTCTTTACATTAAATATTAATTCGATATAGGTACTAACATTTTTATTTTGATGTACAAAACATATAAAATTAAACTTTTTATTAGCTTGTCGTGGAGGAACGACGACAGTGTTCTAATGGTGTCGAGCAATATGTACCCTCAATTGCCTTTTCCAAGATGAGTGATCACCTGGGAATTCAAGTAGAAACGACACATAATTGCCGTATGCTACTTATTCGTGCCATTTAATTAATCATAATTATTGATACATAATATAATTGCATGGCTGAAATACCATAACATAAAATAAAGAAACAACTTTCTTTATGAAAAAGTTTAATCATGTTCTCAATATGTAGGTACTTTAATTGTATTATATTATTATATACAATAATAAATTAATGTAAATTAGTATTGCTTATATTTTTACTTTATTTTTACTTAAAAACATTAATTTATCAATTAAAAATAAACTAACTAGCTAAAATGTATACATATAACTATTCGTTTTTAATGTAAAACCTATATATATTTAAGTGAAACCTCTATTTGTGAATTGAAATTATTTCAATAATAATTAAAAACAGAAGTTTTATTTTTGTTAACAGCATACAAATTAAATACAACAATGCATTTTAATCTTTGAATAATAGGTACCATAATTAATGACTGTGGGCGATACTCGTTCTTTCAATCACATTGCCAATTAGAACATAATATATAATACTAAAATATATTTATTATTGTCTATTGAATAATTATAACTTAACAGAATTTAAATGAATTTGTTGATGTCAACAATCAACGAATATCACTTTTAATAAACTATAAAGGAGTTATTTTAATGTAGATATTACGAGTAATATGGAATATTAAAAAGTGTAAACAGCAAATAAAACAATATTGTTATAATTGTTTTTATTATTTAACAATTTTTATAATTATTTAAATAAAACATGATTATAGTTAATTTTTATATTATAGGTATGATAAATTATTTATAGATTTTCTCATTTTTTTTTAAAAATAATACACATTTATAGCTTTAAGAATATTATTATTAATATTATAAAATAAACTAAGGGGTGTGGTGTGGCTTTGTGGTTGCCGGTTGGCCTCAGTCACTAACATGTTCTGAAATCAAGCATCGGCCGACGTCACTAGTTCACGGATGGGTGACCAGTGGTCACTGACCACCCGAGTTTTTAGTGATGATTCCTCGCCCCATTTATACGTATTCCTCAACCAACCGTAACCTCCTACAAAATCCTACTGTCCATAGTTGCCGATGCTTAAGATCAATAAAAAAAAAAAATAATAAAATAAAAACCAATAGAAATTTCACTTTAGTTATTTTTATTTCATATCGAAATTTGAAAAGTTACTTTCGATAGTTGATACAATCAACCACCCTATAATGATTGATCAGTCGAGTTATTATGGTAACCACGGCTTCGTACGCGTAATAGTTATCAAAAGTTTGTATTATATTATATTATATATATATATTGTGTTGTGTTTTTAATTAATAAAATGGAATCAAAATTGTATAATATTTGAACAGCTTTATAAAAGAGATAAAATTAACAACTCTTCTCTTAAAAATTAAAATATGATGAAATAATTGTTTGCCTATTTAAATCTGTTGAAGGTAGAGAAAATAGTTTATTCAAAAACAATGAAGAAGAATGAAGTATTGACAGTATCTTCATGTATCTTCCATACATATAAAAATTAATTGCTGTTCGTTTGTTTCTCTAAAACTCGAGAACGGCCACTCCACTTTGGCTCAATTTTTTTTAAGATGTTCGTAATTGCCTGGATAAGATTGGAACGAAAGAAAATTTTAGGAAAATCCATCGGAAAAGTAGAAAATTTGAATGTCAAAAAATATAATAGTGGCACCATCTGTCCAGAAAAAAATTAAATAAATAATAAAAATATTAGTTTTAGATTAAAATAATAATAGTGTATTGTATATTGGTTGCTATTGGTTAATCGGCCATGTTTGTTGATTTGTATTATTGTTTTTATTTTATTTTTTTTTTTTACTCGAGAACTTTGGCTCAAATTTTTTTTTAAGAAGTTCGTAATTGCCAGGAGAAGATTTGTACTAATAAAAATTTTAGGAAAATCAACCGGAAAAGTAGGAAATATGGATGAAAAAAATACAACAGTGTATTATAATTTATATTGGTTGCTGTTGGTTAATCGGGAATGTTTGTTGATTTGTATAATTGTTTTTTGTCAATTTATTTATAAATAAATGAATGTTTGTGTGTAGATTAGACCTCTGGGAAGAATACGGGCTAATTTAAAAATGGTTAAATTTGGTTTTTCTTATTCATCTGATATTATTACGGTTAGGATTTTGTATTAACTGATTATATTAATCCACCATAGACGTGGAATACAACAAACTTTTTATAACTTTGATACTTTAGAGTTAAATCATACACTTACGTACAAACATCAAGTTTGCCTACCTGATAATATACTGCTGTGAATCAGAATTATTATTATTATTCCGGGAAAAGGAAAAGTTAAGATAAATTTTGAACACCATACACTGAATATTAAATAACGAATTGAACAAAGTTTGAGTCATATAGATTTGGTACATTTAGCGGGTAACGAAGTACACGGGATCAGCTAGTATTATAATATATAATAAATTAATTTAAATTGAGAGTAGGTACCTAACGTTACAGAAAGCAATCATAGTATTAAATTTAACTTAGAATCGCACATTATTGTAGAAAAAATATTTAATTAGTAGTTCACATTTTGCCATATAAATTATAAACGTATACAAAATAGTATACAACTTTTTATTTAATTTTTACTCCACAACGACTATTGATTATTACTATAGTTTGAAAAATAATATGAAAATGTATATTCTTACCAAGAGCATCCACAACAACAACACCAACAAGATATGCATGGATGCTTATGAGCGGTCGTCACTTGCGTTTCAATGGCCGCGTTCGGTTCGGCAACGTCCGGAGGCACAGGCAGTGGGTCTGTCGGTGTACTGGGATTTCCAGGAGGAGTGAACCTGTGCCTGGCCGTGCACGGTGGCGACCCACCCTGTGATCCAACTGGATCGCCCCTCTCAATCGGCACAAGCACACTCATCTATAGAAAGAAAAATACCATATTAAAAATAATGCATCTATACGTGTATAAAATATATGTCGTGAAAATTGTTTATAGGTGTACGACGATATTTTAGTTTTGTTTCACATAAATCACATGTTCTGCCAGGGATTATTAAATTGAGCAAGAGGTATGCAAGAAAAAAAATGAGAAATATACAGACGATAGAAAAACCCGATTAATTGTGTCTTGTGATATACTAATATACACCTAATGTTTATTAATTACCTAGTTAAAAACGTGTTTTAAATAAATTTAATTCATTAAATAAAGAACAAAATAAAATACAATTAGAAAAATACAACATAATATCATTGTTAATTATTCATAATTATTCTTCAAAACTAAATATATTAAAATAATATGTATTCAAATTCAAATTTTAGTTTTTATAGGTAGCTTACTCGTTCATAGTAATTTTTAAACACATTAAAATAAGTGTAAAAGCAACTTTAAAAATATTTAAATGGCCTTAAAAATACTATATGTGGTTTCGCTGGTTGTAGCCAAAGTGTTTTAATAATGAAATTGATTATTCAATTAAGTTACCCTTTGAAATATACGTGAGTACATGACTAATAACTTCAGTTTCATTTTTTCACAATAACGCTAAATTAAAAGCATTGTATTTTTTTCCTCAAGGGTAGAATACATTACTAAAAGCTAAGCTAATGGATCTTGATTGATTGTTTGGTCACGTAATGTTAACACTTTGACTAAATCTAACCTCATGCTTTCTAGCTACTTTTAGCTATTTTAATGATTTTATTAAATACAAAATAAAATATATACTAACATTGACTTATGAATAATCAATAACATTACTTACTAAAATAACCTTATTGAATTCTTAGAAAATCTATATACCTAAGTTATAAATGTTACTTTTAAATAGTTATCGTTACCTATATATTTTATAATTTTTATATATATATATTATATAATTATAATTACTCAGTTTACCAAGGTTACTGATTAATACATATACCTAACTATGATGTGTTAATAATACTAAGTACTAAATTACTTTAAGTGATATTTTCTCTATATTTTCTCTATACTTTTTTGAGTTTTTATGTTTTGTATAATTTAAAGTATTTCATGGGTAATTCACCAAGGAACCTTTATTTTCTTTAATAATGCAGTTTAAATCTGATTTTTGGAATTTTTTGAATATACCTATACTTAAAGACCATGTTTTAAATTGTTGAGATATTTTTTGTTCTTTTTAATAGGAATGCTCTGTGAGTGATACAAACTTGTGTTTTTCAAATGAGAACTCATTTCCCATTTTTACTGTAAAAATTTAGCAGATTATATTGTTGAGCATTTTGATGCATATAATTAAAATTCAAACGATAACAGTTTGCGAAGACGGCGCATTGTCGATGTTATGTTTAAAATTATTTTTAATGGGTTTTATTATCGGCGATATTTATCAATATCGCTAAATACTTGATCGAGTATTTGTTATGGCAAGTTAATTCAACCTTCATAAAAGTACCAATACTACGTCCCTATGTACAACAATATTTTAAGTCCAAACCGTCAAAGTTTTTCAGAAGAAAATGTATGTTAATATATGGTACTTGATTTTTTTTTAATACAAGCTAGTAAAATTTGACATAAATCTATTACATTGTTTAGTTAATTTTTGTTTTATATTTAATATTTAATTCATATATTATATTATATATAAATGAAATGCTTTTCTTGCCTTTTTTCACATTTTAAGTGCTTTTTATATTGTTTATATTGCCTTCAAATCCCAGCCCTATTTATTAATAAATATATTAATTAGTATTATAGATCATATAATTTGATAAGACCCTTTACAATATTGTGACCAAATTCAAAACCTACAATTTTTTATAACAGTACTCAGTAGTAAATGCTGTTTTGAACAGATACCTAACCTACTTATTACGCCGTATTCAATATACATACATACAGGTTACTGAGGTTAGGTAGGAATAAGTTCTAGAACCCACTGAAATATACAAAACAAAAAAAATTATAATGTTGGTATGAACATGTGATGTTACCACATTGGATGCTCTATATTATAACCTATTAACCTAGGTAAGATAAGTATTATGTCATAATTGTACTAACGCATTATAAGCTATAGTACACGTGTTCAACAAATCCCTATTACAAATTCATATTAATTATAATTGTTGGATACTTTTAGGTTTTTCATAGTAAAATAGGTACTAAAGTAAAGTACCATATTAACAAGTAATTTCTTATTGATGTTAATAACTAAGAACTTGTTTTAAGTGCATAATTCATTACACGCTGTCACAGATTAATATACAATAATAGTATAGTCCAGAGACAAGTCGATAAGTCATACACTTTTTTCTTGTAGATAAATGAGTGATACAATAAGATGTTGGGGGACGGAGTGTTTTGATGGTTGAGACGCACACCGACGCCGGTTCAAAACCTCGGCCGCGAGCGGCATTTTTCTTCGGGAAAGTCACGGTGTCTGGAGAGAAGTTCTACCATCACCTACCCAGGCATGAAAGATACCAATGAGTGCCCACTAAAGAAATCTGCCAAACCCACGTGTTTAACCTACAGTACCGTCCCTCACAGTCAAAAACCACCCAATAGCCTAAGTTTCCGAGGGTTAATACAAAAATAAAAAAAGTAAGATGATCGTGTATAAGTATATTGTACTAAGATATGTATAGCCTTAACTCTGAATAAGTATATTACAGACTTATATTGAGAAAAATACTACAATAAAAAAAAAAGAAAAATGCTAATTAAAATGTGTGTAATTGTATTTTGCTAGATATAGATCAAACGTATATAAAAGTGAATATCGTATAAAAACACTAGAAAAAAATTGAAATACAAAATTCCACGCCATAATCACAATTAGTTTTCAAATTCCAATCTTAAGCTAATTTATTTATTTATTCGTATGACTTAATAATGAGAGCACCAACAAAAATGTTTCCTATTTAGGTCAAATTAAACTATACGTATTACTATTATAAATTTATAACTAATAGGTATTTATAAACATTCTAAGGCACAAAGTACCATAACAAGCAAAACATAACAAATATCACATTAAGTATCACAGATTAATGTTTAGATGTCTACATCCAAGGCCTCTAACCCGGCCACTGCCTCAGGGGTCACTTTGATGAAGTCCTCCAGGTCACCATTGTAACTTTTCAAATGGCAATTCAGGATTAAGTGCTGCATTGATTGTATATTTGAGCCACAGACCAAGGGGCAAAGAGTATCTTTAAAGTTAAATATCAACTGAATTGAGAACGAATAATATTGTTGAAATTTGAACTCCAATTTAAATTTCCTTAAAAATGTATTTTAATAAACTTACTTGCTTATTTAGAAACTTACTGAGTAATTATTTTTACTATTTTTTGCTCAGTTTGGTCATTTGTTACCAAATTATTACTACATCATTGCTGTTTATTTTACTGTTTGATACTTTATTTATAAAAAAAAAACCAGTTAAATTATGAATATAAATATATTAGTAACAAATCTTAAAAAGTGTGTACCTATTCATGTTAAAATACAATTTTTAAATCAAAATTACGATTTTAGTATGATTTGAAGTTTAACACTTAACCTTCTAAGACAATCATTTGTCATCACTCATCAGTTGAGTGCACTAATTGATTGACAAATTTTTAGCACACCAATCAAAAATACTATTCTTTTTATAAAATAACCTAATGTTTTTCATATTTTATGCTTACTTTTCCAATCACATTATACTATATTATTTATGGTTTCAAACAATTATAGAATCAACATTTAATTCATCAACATAAAAATTATTAAATTTCTAGTCAATCAGGTCAATCGGGTCAATCTTTATTAGAACAACCCAGGTCACTGGGAAATGTCCCTGTTGCTACTCCACCCTTGAGCTAAACCGACACGGGTTTAATAAAGTAAAAGTCAAAGTATTATAGTTTTCAAGGTCTTATTTTGAACGTGAATCAGTTTTTTTTTAATATTTAGGGAGATAGAATGTAAAAATTTAAAATATTTATGTTTTTTCTGGAAAATAGTTTGGTTCTTCAAAACCTCAAATCAGCAATAAGATGATAAATTATTATTATTAAATGTATAATACAACTTATATAGGTACAAAGATTAGTTTACGTAAATAAAAATAAGATTTAAATTAGGTATAATATGAATATTTACATACTGGCTGATTCAAGTACATTAATAATAGTGTAAGACATTTTAAGACTTTAAGTTATTCAAAATTCATTCACACGATGGAAATTGATTGGCCTACTGGTATAATAATTTAATATTAATAGTTAATACAATTTTTATTTTTTTAGATTTAATTATTTTATGCTTGGGTTATAATTGTTATACATTTAAAAGCATATTTAAAACATATTTTTTGAAAGACAGAAAATTGTGTTGACATATGTCACTCCTTAAGGGGTATAAAAAATCTCATACAATTTAAAATAAGGTATTAAAGTATAGGTATTTTAAATTCCAAATATCATTTTTTTAATAACATGCATTATTAATGCATAATAACAAAAAAAAGGAGCACACTTGGTAAATCACCCTGTATATTATTTATTATATTATATACATATAACTTCACTTTATTCTTAGAAATTCTTTATTCTTTTTTTTAGATGATTTACTTGTTTTATGACAATCTTTATTTATAATTTTATATTCCAAAATAGAATATTTTTAGGGCTACAGCAACTGGGAAATTTTTAAGATGGCCTTCTCAAACACAGTTTCCAGTCCGTACCATCAACTTTCAATCGATAAAAAAACTTTATAAAACTTTTGAAGAACTTCTTTTCCTCTCAAAAATACAATCTTAAATAAAACTAAATAAAAGCATACATATAATTTTAAAACAAATAGATTTTTCCCCCTTCACAGAAACTAGAAATATTGCTATGAAATAGGCAATCAAATAATTTAATATA